CTAGGTATTATTTATATACTTAAACTAAACATGATTTAGATTCCACAGTCTTTGTTGTTGCCTTGTCATTTTTTACTGATGTGTCTATATGACAGATGTGACAGTGTGTGAGATGCGCTGCGTTCTGCACTGCCTGAGCGATGTTTCGCATTTTAGCCTCACATGAGTGACTTTATGAGTGATGATGTCACATCCCTTTGCTATTGTAACGCTGATGTGATAAATGCTGATACCACATCGTCCTTTCTGGGCTGCTCTGGCTGATGACTGATGATGTCACAGGCTGCTAATAACCTGTATTAATATCAGCGGCAGGGCGCCTCCATTAATGTAATGGGGTTGATAATGATGATGATAGTTTCAACACAGAGCTGTCTGCAGCAGCCGCAGCCATCAGTAAATGATGATCCAGCAGCTCCAGGGGATCTTTATCTATTCCCTGCAGGAAACATTTACCCATAACCCATCAGGGACTTGGACCCAACACTGTGACTTGCACACACATATCCTGAACCACAATGATTAAATTCTGTATTTGCTTATTTCGGATAAAACAGCAGCTTTTGGTATTTTTTTCTGAAAATAAAAAGTACTTGAATGCAAGCCTTAAAGAAAGTGAAGTTAAAGTACTCCACTGGTAAACAAGTCTTTGAGTTGTACCATCATTGGTTTGCAGCAGGAAAATCTGGGCACTGTTGTGTGTAACAAGCTGTAATGGTGAAGTGAAATAATATTAATAGAGTAAAGTGCACTAAAAGCTTACCAACAAGAGTTCCACCAAACATAATGAGAGTGAGAGTGGGTGAGAGGAAAGCCAACAGGGAGGCATCATCATCATCTGAGCTTTAGTTGTGTAACACTTGTGACCAAAGTTTGTCATCAAATCAAAAACTATTTCAGCATTCATGAAGAGATGTTATCATTGCTGGTGTGAAACTCCAAAATGCTGAGACCCCTGTGCTGTGATTCCTCCGTGTACTCTCACTAACACCTGTGTGCTAATGTGTGGCGTAATTAACAAAGAAAACTGTTATTTAAACTGATCGGATAATGTGACAATAGAGATCAGTTGACTACATCATCCTATTGTCATAATATCAGATTGACTGATTATTAATTTATTTATGTTTGAGTCGGTATCGGACCGATAGCCAGTCCACACATCGGTGCATCAGTATCTCTCTCTCCAGCAGTCTTCTAACGCCAAGCCTTTATTTTTACCCTATGAAATTCACATTAGTCATTTTTAAAAGTAATGCAACAGTCGACGTAAATACCTCCTGTAAAAAGTAATTTACAATTTTTTTTTCCTCAAAATTATGTGCTTTTACACTTAACTGCAGGTTAAAAATCTTAACCTGAGTGTGTGCATATTTCCTCTAGCAGTGGGATTATTCATATCCCTAACTGATATCAATAATGGAATCAGAATTGCTAAATTCTTATCAATTCCCATCCCTATCAGCGATACAGCGCGATACCCGTGTAACTGAAAAAGATAAAGCACTATTGTTTTTCCGCCCCTCATCCCCGCCCACAAAAGTTACAGACCCATCTGTGATTTTTGTCCCATTTTCTGAATAAACTCAGTTGAGCTTGTACAAACACATGTTAGAGATGTTTTTAATTTTGTTTCTTTGTTTTGCTTATTTTTATTCAGCATTTTTCCGGTAATTGCAACACTTATGTAGTACAACATCAATATTAAGTTATTAACTCTAATATAGTCATTGAACTTGATAATGTGTTACTTACCTTTACATTCTCTATAAAACTTTTTTAAGTCAGTGATAATTACAACATGTTTTCCATCAGATTGCTTAGTTTTACTCTCCTCTTTCATTTTCTGCAACAGCCTCACTGTCTTCAGCTTCAAGAGCAGCAGAAACTAATGAACTAATTATGTTTGTTGGGCCACACTGTGGATCCTTTTGAGGCTCCACTGTTGATAAAAAAATAAAATAAAATCTGGCAACAGCAATGATGTCCTCACGATGCAACTAAAAGAAACATTTTAAAACAACGAAGCTTCACAAGGTAAAACTCACTGAAAATGTGATGGAGTTCAGCAAATGTCTAATTAATCATTTTAGGAATTTAGTAAAGAATAAGAATAGACAACTCGATACATTTAAGAAATCAATTTAAACCTGAAGGTGTCGGGAGGACAAAGATCACAGGGCCACCAGAATCCTTTAAAACCCTCTCTCTGGGAAACCATAAACACCCCAACCCATTTTTACAGAACAGCCAGTAGCTTTTGATGTATTGGGTACGGATGAAATGTCCCAGTGGGCATTATCAGGATGTATTTCTCAGAAGAAATGATCAATAAACTTGAGTAAAATTGATAGAGCTATAGAAGTTATTGCAAATAAATAACTCTTGAATCTGAGGATTTCTGTCACTGATCCTCAAATTCATCCACTGAAAAAACAACAAACACTGGTGTGATGGATAACCAGTGGTCACTGCTGACTGGTCTGGAGCTGAAAAGTCAAACTGGCTCTAAGGCGTTAATAAGAAAAGCACCCAAAAAACAAAACAAAGAGAGCATGTAAATGCCACTTGCAGACTTGGTACTTTTTGGAACAGCTGTAGGCATCGCACGTTGAGCTCAAGCTCATGTATTCCTTGAAAGGTAAAAACATAATAGGATCCATTTGTCACAAAAAGTCCTTTAAGGCGCCTCTGTGATGGTTGTCAAGAGGATGAGTGGCTTCATAAAACTGGGTGCCAACAGGGGCTGTGGCGATTTGAGATGAGCTGCATCGATCTAAGCTGTCTAAGCACACAACTAGAATTGATAGCGCTATAACGCACTTTCTATTCAATTCAGGCTGTGTGTGTCTAAGTTTAGACTGTGCCACTAGCTTAAAGCATGACTCATGCTGTCAATAGCAGAGGGGGAGGGGGATACCCCATGGTTACTGCTGTGATGGTCACTATTATTATGGCTGTATTTGTGCCCCAGACACACAAACGTGCACATGCTAGATTAAAACTGATAAATTGGATAAATAAATTGGGCTTTTATTAAGCACTAGCCTGTGCGATTCACCTCCAGTGTGCAGGTCACTGCAGTTTGATAACTCTGGCTGAATGTGGCCTATTTACAAACTGCATATTGAGATATACTAGTGTTTGCTCCTGACATGTTGGCCTGTCATTCAGTTTCACAAAATGTGCACAGCTGCTTAATGTTTGGACTTTAAACATTTATATAGGAGTAAAAATAAAAGTTGCTTCCATCTGTAGTGGAGAAGAATGTAATGCATTGTGTGAGTTAGAATCCAGGTTTGCTCAGTGACCTTGAGCCTGTGTGCATATGAGAAAAAAAAGAAAAACATTAAAAAATTTTTTTTACTTAGGACGGAAAGAGAAAACAGCCAGTGGGCTCCCTAAAAGTGATTGTGATTCCACCTTCTTCAAGGTGTTGAGACACACAGATACAGTTGTGCAACACCAAATGCTTCATTTTTTCTTTAGCCTCTTGTGTCATTGGTGAGAACTGCATCTCTCCAGCCTTTAACAAGTACAATGTCCTCTCACAGGATGTTAAAAACACTTCTAATCAATGATTATTTGGCCCCGTTAAATTGAAATCTGCATTAAATAAATGTTAAAATTAAACAGATACAGATACTGACACACCACAGCTATATCAAATATATAGCACTGTTATCATTTGGACATTGTAGATCAGGTCCAACGTAGATCGTTGTAGATCGTTGTAGATCGTTGTAGATCAGGTCCAATGTAGATCGTTGTAGATCAGGTCCAATGTAGATCGTTGTAGATCAGGTCCGGTCTATCCGTATTCTAGCAGTTTAGTAAAGGTTAAGACTAGACACCTGGTTTTTGAGACATATTTCAGGGAACAATTTGAACTTGAAGGTGACGGGCCAAAAAATAAGGGTCAATATTAGGATTAATGTCTTGGCTAAAAGAACTAAGAGAGGTCTTCACTGACATAAGCAAAACTCGCAGCCTTAAGTGGATAAATCCAATTTCCCTCTCTTAGTGATATCATTTTACTTACGATGGGAGTGTGAGCTAATGGTTATGGCAGGATTTGAACTGGTCGAAAACAGCTGCGTAACTAGGTAACTACGTTGAACTGCCTTATCTAACTGAATGGACTTTTTTGGGGACCAGGAAGTTGTATAAAGAGGTTTCTTTAATACATAATCATTTGATGAATCATTTTCAATTTTTGCACGTTCTTTCAAGGCAGTGCCTAACATCAGCTCATTAACTTAAAATTGCACAAGGGGCCAGGTTTCAGGATTAAATATAACACCTATGTATAATCAGCCAAGCTTCATCCTACACTGCACAACTAATTTTGTAAAAATGTCTGAATATGGAATTCAAATTTCATCTGAACTGTTTTTTCTGCATTTCATTTAAAATGTGTCTGATCAGGTTACATGTAAGTGTCTACGCATACAATATAGCAGCAAATTAGCAGGAGTAGGAGGCATCTCAGGCTTGGCAGTGCTTGGAGCCCAATACACTTTCACTGGCGTTATGCAAAACCAGAGAAATACACCTTAAGGGTAAAAATGAGTGAGTAAAGTGAGCAACTGTACTGCAGCAGGCAGCTGGACTGACATAGGAACGTCTCCATTCTGTGGGAAGAAAATGTAAAATAGCAATGAAGAAAGTGTATAAAAATGTTTCTGTGTGAAACCGTCTACCTGTGTGTGCATTATAAAGCTCACTGCAGTCGCCAACTTCAACATGTCTACAGTTGTTGAGTTCTGGTCAAAAGTCTGATGGGACAATCGTTAGTCTTAAAAAGAACATCTTTGCTTTAAATTTGAGTATAAAGGAAATTTTCCATTTCTAGGAAAGTCCTCTTCAGCATATTTGAACATGTTTTTACTGGGTGTTTCAGGTCCCAGTAGAAGGTGTTAAATTCTGTCACATCACCTCGCCTTAATGAAATTCTTTTCATTTTGTTGCAGCAGACACAGACATGCCCGGTTACTGACCCGTGTGCAGTTGTTCGCCTTGGGCTCCAAGTCAGTGACCTTGGTGATCTGCTTGAGGAAGTCGGATTCCTGCATCCCCGGCTGGGAGCCTCGCCGTTTGAACTGTGCCCGCGGGTTCGCCAGGATCATCTGAAGATTCACTGCAAATCCTGAGGAGCCGGAGGAAGAAGAGAAGACTAAGGTGAAGGGATGAAGACGCTAGCCAGCATGGATAAAAGGGACATTACGAGGCTGTTGTAATCACAGCAGAAAATGACCAAGTTGATTAGTGCATCTAATGACTGTGATATGGCTGATATGAAATTCATTTACCACAGGGGTCTGCGTTCTCTGGTGATAATTGTACTGTAGATGAGAAGGAAAATAAGTGAATGTCAGAGGGAAGAATGCTCAGGATGCCAGTGTGCTGGAGCAGAAGCAGGGATTAATGCTTGGCTTGAAACCAGATTTAATCAATCTGATTAGAAAAACTTGGTAACTGTGGGGAGAAACCGGCTGTGTGACTCCATGTAATTACAGCAGCGGGGGGGAAAAAGTATTAGCTGCCCTACAGCCAGAAATACATTTGAAGGTTCGGAAGTATTTCACATTGTGAGACAAGTTTTATATAATCTTTTCCATAACTCCACAAAATTTTATTTTGAACTCAAATCAAACGTGACAAACTAAACAGGAAAGCTAATCCCTGCAGCTGCTGCAGTTAACCTTGTGCAGCATGTGTGTGGAGAACACGTCATTCACACATCTGATGTGTTGTTGACCCTGTAGCCACAGGTCTGAAGGTGACACGTGATGAGTCTGTTTTGCATAATTTTTGCCTGCTTTGAGCTTCCACTGTCAGAAGAAAGTGTCATCTGCAGTTAGTGTGTCAGCTCTCGTTACTGCCACATTAGGTACCGTTGAGTTTTTAATAACTGATGCTCTTGGAATTCATGGCTGTGGCCTCTGTGGATTTTTATTTTGAAAAACCGCATTTGTTGACTCTAAAACAGATCTGCGCCAAAGTTACAGAACGCTGGTATTTGTCCCTCAGCTCAGTATTTCATTTTAATGCAGGAATTTTTCCTCGTCTTCAGGGCTAGGTGTATCACTAGACAATGACATAAGATATTTACACCTTCATTTAATCTTGACCTAATAGGTCTGTCAGTAAGCTCAAAATATCTATGGTTATGTATTAAATGGACAAAAACACAGGACCAAAACTGACCTCTGTGCTACAGTTTAATTCAGTGATTGGGTCTGGTCCAAAGGAGTGGATTAGCTATAACACATGCAAACCACTCTGTTGTTGTGAGTGCTGTAAATACTGAATATTAATTCCCAGATGAAATCCTATAATGCAAGTAGTATGGTCTCAATTTCAATCTAATTTTCTAAGCTGTGTGTTGCTTCTGGCAAATGTTTTCTTAACTTTCCACAGAAGATGAATGCGTTCTACTACTTCCTGTCTTCGATGTTATTTCCCTTTACGATGCCACCGTGCAGCCTGAAGCTACCTCTACTGTGCTGGTTAAAATAAATCATTTTCTTTCTATCTGTTGTAGTAGACAGAAACAGCAATAGAAGACTGAGTGACTAAGCTAAAGTTGTTTACTTACACATGCGGACATGAAAATAGGAGCCTGTTTTAAAATTCATTACTTATGAACATACGAGTTAAAGAGACATCAATGGCTTGATTGCCCGTCCACTGCCACTTCCTAACTCATTTACTCCATGAAGATGAACTAAGGATGTATAACACACTGACAGTTGCTCAATTCAATTCAGTTGCCTCAAGGTGCTTTATATTGTAAGGTAGACCCTACAATAATACATAAATGGTAAATGGCCTGTATTTGTATAGTGCTTTACTAGTCCCTAAGGACCCCAAAGCACTTTACACATCCAGTCATCCACACATTCACACACACATTCACACACATACATTCATGTATTGAGAAAAAAAACCCCAACAATCATATGACCCCTATGAACAAGCACTTTGGCGACAACGGGAAGGAAAGACTCTCTTTTAACAGGAAGAAACCTCTGGCAGAACCAGGCTCAGGGAGGGGCGGGGCCATCTGCTGCGACCGTAATTGGACACTGGAGCAAATAAAACAAACAACAAACTGCAAGATAGCAACAGTACCTCAGTGCTTAACATCTAACCAGGTGAAGAATACTCTCAACGAGGTAGGTGTACCATCATCCACAATCAAGAGACGCCTTTAGCAATAAGGGTGCAAAGCTGAAGGCGGAGAGACCCACAAACATGCAGCAGCTGAAGGCGCCTGCAGTAAAGGCCTGGCAGGGCATCTCAACAGAGGAAACTCAGCAGTTGATGATGTCCATGGGTTCTTGACTTCAGGCAGTCATTGACCACAAAGGATTTTCATGTCTGAATCAAGTCTTAAAAATTATGTTTAACATGTTTGAAACTCTAAAAATAGGTGAAATGTCTGTAATTTCTAAGCAGTTCATCGTAATTTTCATAAACCCTTCATTTGATGCTGAAAGGCTGTATAATTAAAATACACTGTGGTGATGTACAGAGGTAAAATTTACAAAGATTCTATCAGTGTTTACGTATAGATCTAACTATATGTGTCTCTCCCAAACTCAGCTACTTATCACAGATGCAGTATTTCCAAAAGGAAATAAACAAGCAGAAGATCTGTTGGAGCTAAATAAAGAAGCCAGACTGATGCTAGCAGACAGGCCACACATGGAATGCCATAACCAAGTAGCTGCCAGAACATCCGTGCTGATTATGGTCTAGAAATTCCAAGGTCAAAATGGGATCACTGAGATAAGATCCTGTGGACCTTCCAGATACAGACAGACAAACTGCTGATGGCTAACCAATTGCACAGAGTTGTGCTGGACAAGCAGAGGAAGACAGCTGTAGTGATTGATGTAGCTATACCAAGTACCAAGCAACACCAGGAAGATGGAACAAGGGAAGCTTGAGAAATACCAAAGCCTGAGAGAGGAGCTAAAGAAGGAGTGCAGGGTGAAGGCAGCGGTGGTCCTCGTGGTAAACGGGCCACTCGGGGCAGTGAGTGGCTCCAGCAGATCCCAGGAGTGACATCCAACATCTCTCTCTCACGACCGTGGCTCAGGGGGTTGGGAATCACATCTGTAACCGGAAGGTCGCCGGTTCGATCCCTGGGCTCTCTGTCCTGGTCGTTGTGTCCTTGGGCAAGACACTTTACCCTACTTGCCTACTGGTGTTGGCCAGAGGGGCCGATGGTGCGATATGGCAGCCTCGCTTCTGTCAGTCCCAGGGCAGCTGTGGCTACAACTGTAGCTTGCCTCCACCAGTGTATGAATGTGAGAGTGAATGAATAGTGGTATTGTAAAGCGCTTTGGGTGCCTTGAAAAGCGCTATATAAATCCAATCCATTATCATTATTATATATATATATATATACAGATAGATAGATATGAAACTCACATTCACTCTCCATAGAGAATATTGCCGCTTTGTCTGCATTGTTTTATTTATTTATTTTGTTATATCAAAGAAAAAAGTTTATTATTTTCCCAAATGTGTGTGATTGTGAGAAGAGTTCTCTGAGCATTAATTATTGCTTCAGGACTCATCTGGGAACTGTTACTAAACGGCTAGAGGGAGAGAAGTGGTGCTGCCGAGAGGCGCTGACAGGAGGAGAGGAGGAGATCGTCAGGGAACAACAGGTGTCTGTTTTATCCTCAGAAAAACATACGAAAGGCTCTGGCTGCTTCAATTTCCATTCAATATCACCATAAAGCTTTTAGTGACTCTGTGACTGGGGTGGGGCAGTTAGGTAGGGTGTTCTCCATATTTTGTGCACCTGTATGTACACATTCCTGTCTGCCACGTTTCCTTACTGAAGAAAAAAAACACCTGATCCCCAACATCAGCCACAATGTTAAGACCTATCCTTGTTGAGCCTGTTTTCCAGCCCACAACTTTACTGTTTTATTTTACTCCCAGCACTCTTTTTTGGCATGTCATCAATTTGCTGTAAATCACGAGTAATAACATGAATTTGGCAAATTATTCATCTGACTTTGAGAAATACCAAAACATAGCATTTTTTTTATTGGAAAAGAAAACAGACGTTCACAGGTTTCAGATGTTAGATCTTCGCGCTGACGCCTGAGGTGAGCCAGAAGCCTTTTAAATATTTTATGGCTTTACTTTTTACAGGTGTAGTGTGAAGTAAAAAGACTCAGAAAGTGAAGGAAAACACAATGAAAAAAAATCCAAACACTGTGGTACAGTTTAAAGTAATTTATAGCCATCCTTAAACGCCTGTCAGGACAGGAAAGAGCTCCAGTGTGGGTTATGTTTTAAGCATTTCTCACACAGAGATTTCTAGTTCCACGTGTGACAGGAAGATATTTGCAGAAACTTCTTCTGTGCACAAGGTCTCAACATAATTACTGAATATTTATTTATGCAAATCATCAGTGGGTGGCACGCCTTTGCAATCAGTGTGGCAATTTGCCCCTGGTAATTCACCATCCTCGCCTCTATTTTCCCCTCACATCCGCCACCTCTAGCTGAACAGAATATTCTAGGCTGCAGTTATCCAGACGCGGTGATACATGGCCAGCAGACAAGACAGCAGTCCTCTGAGGTAAGTTAGTGTCAGAGTGGGTCACACAGAGAAAGAAACAGCAGACATGCAAATGAGTTTGGTATGTATTATCTCTCTGTAAGTTTAGTGTACTTTAGACCAAGTGAAAAGCACATCCACACTGATGTACACAGTTAGATAAATGTGTCCATACAGGACTTATATAGTATATAGTATAAAGAGAGCATATTTCTCCCATATTGCCTTATTTTTATTGGATCCCTGATAAATCCAGAATCAAGTTTAAAATCCTTCTCACATACAAGGTCTTCAATAATCAAGGCCCCATCTTGTCTTAATAACCTCATAGTGCATTATCACCACAATAGAGCACTTTGCTCTCGGACTGCTGCTTTACTTGTGCTTGCTGGGATATATATAACTATGTGTTTACACACAACTTTGCATTTAATCATTAGTTTTCATTAGTCCCTTTTCCTGCCTCCCTCACCCACCCACATCCATCTCCCAGATAGCTGCCTCTCCCTCAGCCTGGCTCAGCTGGAGGTTCCTTCCTGTTAAAAAGGCGTTTT